AATGGCACAGACTAGGAGGTGGTGTGCTTCCTTTCTCTGGTCCTCCTCTCCTGACCCAGCACATTGTTGCTTGTATTTGTATTTGTAAGTCGGTACAGCTTCACCCCCTGCTGGTTATGTAAACTTGGGTAAATTGCTTAACTTTTCTGTGCCTCAGTTTTCTCATCCATTATATGGGGATGCTAATTAAATTGACCTCAGTGCATGTTGTGTTGCTGTAACAGAATACCTAGGACTGGGTAATTTTTAAAGATTGGAAATTTAGGGTCTGGCAGGTGGCGTAGTGATTGAGGGTGCTGGACTCCCACATAGCTGACCACAATTTGAGTTCCACACCTGGCAGCTGGCTTTCTCACTTTCCCTCTCTCTCTCTTTCACTCTGTCCCCTCTCTGGTCAAATTAAAACAGAGAAATAAATAAGTAAGTAAATACAAAGTTAACTAAAATAATTCTTAAAAAAAAAATTGGAAATTTATTTCTCACAGTTCTGGAGGCTGGAAAGTCCGAGATCAAGGCACCGCAGGTTTGGCTTTCTGGCAAGAGCCGAATCCTCCAAAGGGAAGGAACACTGGGTCCTCACAGGGCAGAAAATGGAAAGGCAGGCTAGCGGAATGCTGCTCGAAGCCTCTTTTGTAAAGGCCTCCATCCCAGTAATGAGGAAGGATTCCTCAAGCCTAATCACCTTTTAAAGGTCCCAGCTCTCAGTACTGCTATTGGCAACACTTGGATTGGGAGCGGGCACAGCTACACCAGAGCAGGTTGTTGTGACCATTGAAAAAGAACACAAAGCCCTCAGAGGAGTGAAGAGCACATAGTAAACAACCAATAGGGACCAGCAGTTGGCGTAATGGCTATGTCGTTGGAATCCCATGTAGTCAACTGCGGTTCAAGTCCCGAACCCAGTGGCTTAAACTCATGCCAGGCACAAATGTGTGCGTGCCCAAGATCCCAAGAGGAGAATGGAGGAGAAGGGACTGCGGTGTGGCCATCCCCCCTGGGGGTGTGTGTGTGTGTGATTTCTTGCTTTCTGTCTCTCTGTCTCTCTTTCTGGTGAGTGCACGTGCCCTATCACAAAAGCCTCTCCAAAAAAAAAAAGGAGAAAGAGAACAACCAATAAATGCTGTTTTTTCTGAAGTAAACTGTGCTTGTTATTTTTTTTTTTAAATAAAGCACCCCCTACCCCCCATGGGGAATGGTCACATTGCAATCCCTGCTCCTCCATTTCTCCCTCCTATTAGGATTTTGTGCACACCCATGTGCCCAGAGTGCTTTCCAAGCTGCTGGGTCCAGGATTTGAACTGCGTGTTCAGCCACGAGGGATCCAACCATCTTAATCACCATGCCGTGGGCTGGCCTGAGTGTAATTATTCTAACAACTTCATTAATACAGAAGACATCCAAGAAAAAGTGCATCCTTCCCCTGACCTCTAAGACATCCAAGAAAAATTGTATCCTTCCCCTGACCTCTACTCCCTTGTCATCTCTTATTAAAGAAAACTATTGAATTAAGGGTTTAATGTGATCGTTGCACATCTTTGTCCCCCTTGTACTGATATACGGCAAATTTACACATGTATACAAGGGATCTTCAAAAACTTATGGAAAGTAGGCAATGTGAAAAACTGCAGTGGCAGGGAACCAGCAGTTAGCGTAATGGCTGTGTCGCTGGACTCCCACGTAGTCGACCACGGTTCGTGTCCCGGACCCGGTGGCTTAAAACTCACGCCGGGCGCGTGTGCGTGTGTGCCCAAGATCCCGAGAGGAGAATGGAGGAGAAGGGATTGCGGCGTGACCATCCCCCCTGGGGGGTGATTTCTCGCTTTCTGTCTCTATGTCTCTCTCTGTCTGTCTGGCGAGCGCACATGCCCTACAGTGAAAATCTCTCCAAACAAACAAACAAACAAACAAACAAACAAAACTGCATGGCAGGGCTAGCAGGTGGCATGGTAGTTAGGGCACTCGACTCCCACGTGGCCAGCCGTGGTTTGAGTCCTGGACCTGGCAACTTCCTTTTGCACATTCTCTCTCTGTCAAGCACTTGTGCAAATTAAATAATAACAAGG